CTGTCCCCCTCGACGTATCTGCGCATGTGCCAGTTTCAGGCATTAGCAGCCGATCGGCGATCTCCGGCACATGCGCAGATACGTCGAGGGGGACAGAGCCTCATAGGAGACAGATTTTCATGCTACACAGCGGACTGTGAGAGCAGCCTAGCGGGAGCCTAGCTCCGCGGGCCGGATTAAAAGGTCCGCCGGGCCGTAGTTTGCCCATTGCTGTCCTAGACTGTAAGCTCGAAAGAGCAGGGCCCTCGAACCCCTTGTGTTTTGCATTGTATTGTTACTGTACTGTTGCATGTTCTGTCCCCCTTTGTAATGTACAGCGCTGAGCGAACTGTTGGCACTTTATAAATACTGTGTAATAATAATAATAAACTTGCCAAGGCATCCACATAGTATGAAACTGCTCAGTATTGATATTATATTGTGCTATCATATGTTCTACCTGGTTAATGTCTTGTAGGACCTCAAACTATTCTGCTAAAGCAGGGATAACTTGTGATTTCCAGTGCTTCAGAATAATCTGTAGCTATCAGAAAAAAAATCTGAAAATAGAATGTTTTATTGACTTCTGGGTACCAGCGATCATGGAAAGTAACACTATTTATGGGGTATTTTGATTAGATGTGGAGTAGCAGTCATTATCTATAGCAAAAATGCATGATTCCTGGGCAACTCCACCATATATGAAGATTAGTACTCCTATGTTGAAGGCATCTCCAACAAATATAAGACTTTATAGCAAGTTTCACGTGTAAGAGTGTTATAATTTCGTTCTTGTACTTTAGAGAATATGTAAAAAAGTGAATGTTTTACACCAATTTTCATCTGAGAAATGTTGGTTACATCCCACCTCCCATTGTGTTTTGAAAAGATGTGCAGCTGCAGGTTTGCTATGCAATAAGAGTTGGCATATTAAAGAGATTTAATAAATAGGGCAAAAATGTCTGGCACTGCTACCCATAAATTAGCAGGAATCCCTCTGAGCAGACTGGTGCATGATCCACAGTCGCACAGTTGTAAGCATATCATCCAAGTTATAACTAAAGCCACTTAGGCTGAAATGCATCAATGTGCTGTATTGGATATGTACATTGTAGAGTTAATAATAAATGGTAGATTTTAGGAGCAATTAGCGGAGTTGCAGAGCTTTTACTTGGATAATAAAGAGTGTCAGGGTCCTGTCCATGGCAGGAGTTCTGGAAGATCTGGCACTTCTACATGGCCGCAGAAGTACACATCAGCCTCAGTCTGGTGCCAGACGGCTTTTATAAGGAGACTCATCACTTCTTCTGGTTGCTGGATGATCTCTAGCTCCAATGCCCTGTTCCTGGTTCCTGTTTCCTGTGTTCTGACATGTGATTTCCTGTTACCGACTCGGCTTGCTCCTGGACCTATCTACTCTGATTTACCCCTGACCTGACCTCGGCTGACCTCCAGTTCTTGGTAATGTCACTGTTGCACCATATTTTCTCTACTTGACGATGACTGTCTTTCACTGTGTTCTATGGAATATCTAATGCCTTGGAAATTATTGTGCACCCTTCTCCTGACTGATACCTTTTAACAATGAGATCCCTCTGATGCTTTGGAAGCTCTCTACTGACCATGGCTTTTGCTGTAGGATTCGACTAAGAATATGTCACGAAAGACCTACTAGAAAAGCTGAACTTTATTTGGGGTTAATCCGAGTCACTTTAAATGATGGCAGGTGTGTACTGACTCCTATTTAACATGATTTTGAATGTGATTGCTTAATTCTAAACACAGCTATATCCCAAGTTATAAGAGGGTGTGCACACTTATGCAACCACATTATTTTAGTTTTTTTATGTTTACTCTCACCCATAAAAGATTGCAGTTTGTTTTTCAATTGAGTTGTACAGTTTATAGGTCACATTAAAGGTGGAAAAAGTTCTGAAATGATTTATCTGTCTCATTTTTTTACATCACTGAAACCTGACATTTTAACAGGGGTGTGTAGACTTTTTACATCCACTGTGTTTTATTATATTGGGCTTAACATCATTTTCTGGACACCGGGGATTTCCTATTTACATTTCTATGGCCAGTAAGTGAAAATGTACTTGGTCCTCACAATCTAGGGTGATTGCTCTGAGTGTTTTTTTAGTGATTGTGTTATTCTCCTAATCATATTGCAGGGTACTCACACTGACAGTGGTTCTAAAGGCTGAAGGTTGGTTCCCATTGTCAATCACAGCCAGTGAGGAGGGAGTGGGGGAGGGGCAGAGCTGCACTCTGTGTGTCAATGAACAGAGTGCAGCTTGGGAGTGAGCCTACACAAGTGCCCCCCCCATAGCAAGTGGCTTGGGAAGGAGCCAGGAGCACAGGTGGGGTACCCCAGTAGAGGAGGATCATGGCTACTCTGCAAAAGTAGTACAGTTGCACAGAACAAGTAAGTATAACATGTTTGTTATTTTAAAAAAATGTTTTAGGTTTACACTCACTTTAATTTGTAGAGTGTAGCATTGAATAATTTGGGACTGGGTGAAAACATGAGGAAATTTAACAGAATGTATTTTCTGTTTGTTTCCCTGTACAGCCTGTATAGCATATATTTTTATCATGTGATTGAAAAGCCATTTTTTTTCTCTTCTTCATTTTTAATGTTTTGTATTGATAGGTTTCCCCACTTTTTGTCTTTTGTAGTCATTTTTGTATTTTAACGTTAATGTCGCTTGCAGGCAGCTTTCAGATGAGATGATAGTTCCCTTGAGTGGAGGTAAGCAGGACACCTATATAAAGTGTGGGAAGATATGATGTTCTGATAATATCTGGGACTGAGCCATGGTTGTGTCTTATTGCCTCCCCCCATACATGTTACACCTCATCCTTGTGGGGGATTGAGGAACAGGGAAATGTCCCCCCCCCCCCCCCCCCCTTTTTATTTTTCTCCTTCTTTGGCTGTGATACATAATAGGTATCTCTCTTTGATTGGATGGATTATGTATAACTATGTGTTTCCTTGATATTTTTTTTTAATGCATCTATATGTTTATCTTTGTAAAATGAACTGACTTGTTGTATATGCAACCGGTATTTATCCATTTCGCAAAGCACATTGATCCTAGATACCATATGTTCATGAATTTCATATACCTGGGTTATTTTTATGTGTTATTTTATTATTTCTATAAAGATTATACTGATTTTACATGTGTGTGATTTCTTAGTGGCACATACAAAGTCCCATTTGTCTGTTCCAACCTGTAAAGGGTGGTATAGGGCATTCAGATTGTATTATGCATTAAAGTGGTTTTAAACTCTAAATGTTGTTTTCTTTTTCCTTAAAGCATTTTATTCATTAAAGTGAAAAGTCTTCCACTGCCTGCCCCCCCCCCCCCCCTCATTCTTCCCCTAAACACATGCCGGAGTCCTCCCTTGATCCAGCATTGTGCCCACCTGCAGCTCTTCTCTCCCTTCTCCTTGCTCTCACAAGCTGCACTGGTATCAGTGGGAGCCACTGGTACTCCTGCTGCTGTCAATCAATTCCTGGGAGGAGGGAGCTGGAAGAGTGGCCAAGCCATGCTTTTTGTGACTTTAGAGGCACACAGCCTGGCCCAGGAGTGCTCCCTCATACAGTAAGTGCTCTCACAGCAAATGGCTTGTTATGGGGGCACAAGCAGGAGATATAGTGGACAGAACCAGCAGGGGAGCCCAGAAAAGAAGGTGAGGGGCTGCTTTGTGAAATATATTTGCATAGAGCAGGTAAGTACAACCTCTTCTTTTTTTATTCTAATTTAAAAATTGAAGATTTACAATCACTTAAAAATAAACCCTCACCTTTTAAAACAAACTCTTTAAGTTGACATTGAAATGAAAGGCTAAACATAACAAACATTATAAATACTTGTTGCCCCGTTTATATAAGTGATCACATACCCTTTGTTCTCAGCTGCATAAGGATCTCTTCAGGGAGGAGAAACAGTAACTCGCCAATCTTCCCAGTGAATGGCTGTGCTGGAAGGGGGAGGGGGTGGTGTGTCAGCACAAGCCTGATCATTGGAGGAGAGCAGGCTGAGTTCTAAGCATAGCCAGAACACTGATCACGTTGTGCTCTCCTGCTTAGTGTGGTCATTTTTTAGTAGGAAACAGAGGGCATGCCAGGAATTTCACAGAATGCAAGCAATACAAAGAGAACAGGATACTTTTTCATACAAGTACATGGTATAGGAAGCACATATCAGGAATATGAAATGTTAGGTTTACTTAAGTCATGTCAATATATATTTCAGATGATTGGGCAAAATGTAGAAGGGATCTTTAATAACAATATGTTCTAATATTACAGTATATCCCAATTTTCACCTATAGTTTTTAATGATGTATCATGCTGAGAATTATAAATAAATACACTTTTGAATTTTAACACTTTTATGTACATATGTTTCCTGTTCCTGGGAGTGAGAACCAGTTAAACAGTCCCATATTCTTTTTCTGCTAATTATTTAATGTCATTTCAAGTGATGTGGTGCCTGAATTATCCATTTATACTGTAGTTTCCCCATTGGAAGATATTCCCTCTGTTCCTGTTCTGGTTGGAATTGTTTCAACCAGCCCAAACCTCTTCCCAATAATAAAATTGTGCCAATACAAATGTTTGGTATTGTCCATTGTCTGTAATCCCCATGCGTTTTTTAACACCAAAAACAAAAAAAAACACATTACCAATAAAAAAAAAAGGACTCGATTGACTGCTTAGTCTTTTTTTCTGCCACCACTCTTCCTTTGAAATGTTTCCTGCAAGAGCCATGAATTGAACAATCCTATCAAAGCAGAGGTCTTAAAATATGAGTCCAGATGTTGGCTTTAGGAATTCTTAACATATTTTACTTGCAGTAACTTTTTCAGTGAATTTATGATTTCTTTGTTTCGAAAGCTATATATAATTGGATTAAAGAGTGGTGTTAGTACAGAATAATTGATAGCCACTAGTTTGTCATATTCTGGAGTATACATCATTTGAGGTCTGATGTACATAAACGCTACACTTCCATAGAAGATAAGCACAACTGTAAGATGAGAAGCACATGTAGAAAAAGCTTTCTTGGACTCTTCTGGACTTCGCTAGACTTCATTTTCAGTATGGTGAATATAATTCTCACATAAGTCACAATAAGGAAAAGAGAAGTCAAGATTATCATGCACAGGCTAATAGCAAAATCGATGATGAAATTAAAGGCTGTATCTGCGCACACCAGGTTCAGAAGAGGAGACGAATCGCAGAAGAGATGATTTATTTCATTTGGACCACAAAATGGTAACTGTAAGACTGAAAGAAGAAGTGTTACAGGACTCAAAAATCCAAGAACCCAACAACTTGAGGCCAAAGTCTTGCAACGCTTTAAAGTCATTAGATTATGGTAACGAAGAGGATTGCAAATTGCAACCATACGGTCATAAGCCATTAAATTAAGTAAAAAATTCTCTGTAATACCAAAGGAGTGAAAGAGGTACATTTGCATCATACAATTACTGAATGAAATTTGGGTCTTACCCTTCCAAATGATGGTAAGCATACAAGGAATTGTGACTGCTGTGTACCAAATCTCAAGGAAGGACAACAAGCCAATTAAGAAGTACATTGGTGCACGAAGATGTCTGTCAACAAAGATTAATGCTGATATTGTCACATTGCCGGCAAGTATCAGGAAATAGGACATTAATAAAAGACTGAAGAGGAAAGGCCATAACTGGCCAGAGTTGGAAAACCCTAAAATGATAAACTCAGTGACTGTTTTATTTAAAGACATTTTTTCCAAAAGTTTGAAACTGTACAGGCCCCAATGGAAAAAGAAAGGAAAGGCAAGCAGAAGAGGGACCTAGAAAATAAATGTGTATAGTAGAAAATTCACAACATTTTTTGTTTACTAGATTTTCTAATACTCCTTTTTCAGAAGATTCATTTGAAATAAAGTTTTTTTTGTAATTTGTGTTTCACCGTCTGAGATTGGTATGTAGTTTATTAGTGCGTCAGCTCTTGAAATATGTTCCCTCAACACCCCTCTATTTGGCACCCGCTGTGATTATATACAGTGGGGCAAAAAAGTATTTAGTCAGCCACCAATTGTGCAAGTTCTCCCACCTAAAAAGATGAGAGAGGCCTGTAATTGGCATCATAGGTAGACCTCAACTATGAGAGACAAAATGAGAAAAAAAATCCAGACAATCACATTGGCTGATTTGGAAAGAATTTATTTGCAAATTATGGTGGAAAATAAGTATTTGGTCAATATCAAAAGTTCATCTCAATACTTTGTTATATAACCTTTGTTGGCAATGACTTAGGTCAAACGTTTCCTGTAGTCTAAACAAGGTTGGCACACACTGTTGCTGGTATGTTGGCCCATTCCTCCATGCAGATCTCCTCTAGAGCAGTGATGTTTTGGGGCTGTCGCTGGGCAACACAGACTTTCAACTCCCTCCAAAGGTTTTCTATGGGGTTGAGATCTGGAGACCGGCTAGGCCACTCCAGGACCTTGAAATGCTTCTTACAAAGCCACTCCTTCGTTGTTGCCCGGGCGGTATGTTTGGGATCATTGTCATGTTGGAAGACCCAGCCACGTTTCATCTTCAATGCCCTTGCTGATGGAAGGAGGTTTGCACTCAAAATCTCACGATACATGGCCCCATTCATTCTATCCTGTACATGGATCAGTCGTCCTGGTCCCTTTGCGGAGAAACAGCCCCAAAGCATGATGTTGCCACCCCCATGCTTCACAGTAGGTATGGTGTTCTTTGGATGCAACTCAGCATTCTCTCTCCTGCAAACATGACGAGTTGTGTTTCTACCAAACAGTTCTATTTTGGTTTCATCTGACCATATGACATTCTCCCAATCCTCTTCTGGATCATCCAAATGCTCTCTAGCAAACTTCTTCAGACGGGCCCGGACATGTACTGGCTTAAGCAGGGGGACACGTCTGGCACTGCAGGATCTGATTCCCTGGCGGCGTAGTGTGTTACTGATGGTAGCCTTTGTTACGTTGGTCCCAGCTCTCTGCAGGTCAGTCACTAGGTCTCCCCGTGTGCTCCTGGGATTTTTGCTCACCGTTCTTGTGATCATTTTGACCCCACGGGGTGATATCTTGCGTGGAGCCCCAGATCGAGGGAGATTATCAGTGGTCTTGTATGTCTTCCATTTTCTAATTATTGCTCCCACAGTTGATTTGTTCACACCAAGCTGCTTACCTATTGCAGATTCAGTCTTCCCAGCCTGGTGCAGGTCTACAATTTGTTTCTGGTGTCCTTCGACAGCTCTTTGGTCTTCACCATAGTGGAGTTTGGAGTGTGACTGTTTGAGGTTGTGGACAGGTGTCTTTTATACTGATAACAAGTTCAAACAGGTGCCACTGATACAAATAATGAGTGCAGGACAGAGGAGCCTCTTAAAGAAGAAGGAACAGGTCTGTGAGAGCCAGAAATCTTGCTTGTTTGTAGGTGACCATATACTTATTTTCCACCATAATTTGCAAATAAATTCTTTCCAAATCAGCCAATGTGATTGTCTGGATTTTTTTTTCCGATTTTATCTCTCATAGTTGAGGTCTACCTATGATGCCAATTACAGGCCTCTCTCATCTTTTTAGGTGGGAGAACTTGCACAATTGGTGGCTGACTAAATACTTTTTTGCCCCACTGTACAGTGGGGGCCTATCAGCAATCAATCATAGCTGAGACCTGCTGGTTGCCTGTGTCCAATCACAGCCCAAAGCCCTGTGTTGCATATAGAGCTCTGTACAGAGGGAACTATCTCTCTGTTTTTCATCTCTGCAAAACAGGGATGAGAAACTAAGTGATCATTAGTAAAAAGCAGCATACTTTACACACATTAAACACTGTTAGGCACACATTTAACCCCTTGATTGCCCTAGATGTTAACCCTTTCCCAGCCAGTGTCATTAGTACAGTGACAGTGTATTATAGTAATTTCAGTGGCAGTCACTTAACCCCCCCCCAGGTCATTCCCCCCCCCCCCAGGTCATTCAGTATCAGATTGCCTGCCGCACTATGGCAGTTCCCAAGAAAATCCTAGTGTGTATATATACCACAGTTTGTAGATGCTATAACTTTCAAGCAAACCACTGGTTGGAATTTGTTTTCATCAAAGATGTGTAGCTGTATACATTTTGGAAAAAATGTATGAAGATTTTTTTTCCCTTGATATGTTTTATGACAGAAAGTAAATTTTTTTTTTTCAAAAATTGTCAGCCTTTTTTTGTTTATATTACAAAAAAAATGCCCCCCCCCCCCCCCAAAAAAAAAAAAAAAAAAAAATATATATATATATATATATATTAAAAAAAATAGGGCAGGCTCAATGGGCCACTTGATCTGTTTTCTGCCATCACTGTTCTATGTTTATAAGTGCAGATACAACTGAAATTGGAATTGGAGTAAAATAAAAGTGGAGTAGAAAGCACCATGCAGGGAGTCTGTGCAGACACGTGGTAACTAAAATACAGAAAACACAAATGAAAACTTTAGAGCCTTGAGCTGATGGAGAAAAAAATCACACAAATAGCTCAAGTAATGGAAGCACCTGATTTTCCCTCTAAAACATACCTTCGCATTACACCTTTATGCTTTAATAATGTATATAATAATAGACATTTGTTCTTAGTGTAAAACTTTAAAAAAGATCTCTAGCCCCTCCCCCTATAAAGCTCATTATAAGATAAAACCAAATGCAGCTTCTGCTGCAATACTTCAATGCAATGCAATGTCTTCAACTGTGAAGCACTAAAGTGTTCTTGGTTGTATCACAGCAATCATCATTCAACTAACTTTTTCTAAACCCAGGCTACCATGGACTCACTGCTAGCCTGTGGACTGGCCAGTAGAAGCAACACAGTGATGTGCTCATCTCTCTGACACAATGCTTTCTTTGCCCATCAGCATGCTCCTTGTCAGAACTGGAAATGTTTGGCTTCCCACTGCTTCTTTCTCTTTCTGCTGTACAGTGGATTGCAAGAGGATAATACCAAGTCACATTCAGATACTTCTACTGCTTACTAGGGATGGGCTTCATGAACCTAAGTTCCACTCGAACACGGGCCATTTGTATGTTCGGCAAACACATGAACAGTACGGGCGTTTGGAGAACACACGAACAGTACGGGCGTTTGGAGAACACACGAACAGTACGGGCGTTTGGAGAACACACGAACAGTACGGGCGTTTGGAGAACACACAAACAGTACGGGCGTTTGGAGAACACACAAACAGTACGGGCGTTTGGAGAACACACGAACAGTACGGGCGTTTGGAGAACACACGAACAGTACGGGCGTTTGGAGAACACACGAACAGTACGGGCGTTTGGAGAACACACGAACAGTACGGGCGTTTGGAGAACACACGAACAGTACGGGCGTTTGGAGAACACACAAACAGTACGGGCGTTTGGAGAACACACGAACAGTACGGGCGTTTGGAGAACACACGAACAGTACGGGCGTTTGGAGAACACACGAACAGTACGGGCGTTTGGAGAACACACGAACAGTACGGGCGTTTGGAGAACACACGAACAGTACGGGCATTTGGAGAACACACGAACAGTACGGGCGTTTGGAGAACACACGAACAGTACGGGCGTTTGGAGAACACACGAACAGTACAGGCGTTTGGAGAACACACGAACAGTATGGGCGTTTGGCAGGCTACCACAGGTCAGGTGCAATGCTTTGACTAAATACATGATGAAGTCACAAGTGACGTCATGACAGTATTTAAGAACTGTCATAAGGGGCACAGCTGTCATACGGCTGGAGTCAGTGTCGCAAGCCGAGCACTTAGTTTTTTTTTCCTTTTTTCGGGTAGCGGTGGGCAACGTGATTGACGATAGATCTACGTCGAGGGACTTTTTTTATTTTTAACTATTAGCCGCCCGGCCAATGGCCGTTTGGCGGCTTGAAATGTGCTCCTGTATGTGGGTGCACGCCATTTGGCGTGCTCCCGCACATGCGCGGTTTGCGCGGTTGCAGAGCGACGCAGCAGTGCGATCTGTCACCTCGGACACGGCCGATGACAGATCCGAGTACCGGCTCCCGTTGCCGGTACCATGTGACCTGCTGTGACCAATCACAGCAGGTCACATGACAGTTGTATACAATGGATGGCTTCATTCATGATGCCATCCATTGTATACTAGTGCCTAGCTGTGAATGTGAATGCACATGTCATGTGATTAGCTGTGACCAAATCACAGCTAAGTACAAAAAAAAAAAAGCTGAATGAATCGATTTCATTCAGGTAAATGCTTGCTTATAGCAAAGTAATTCTTTGCTATAAGCAAATTGTGTAAAAAAAAAAAAAATACTGATCACTTCCCCAAAGTAGTACAGTGTTACTATGGTAACATTGTACTATTTTGGTCATAGTAAAATATGAAAAAAAATCTTTAAAAAAATAAAAAAAAATGTAATAAAAAATTAAATATAAAAAAAAAAAAGTATATATTTTTTTTTTCATACTGTCACCAGTCAGTGTCGCTGTTCACCGCCATGCCAGTTATATGATGACGCTGTACTGCACTGGTGACAGTATGTAAAAAAAAATAGTGAAAATTATTTTTTTAATTTTTTAATTTTCCGAAAAATTATGACAAAAAAATACAACTTCAAAAAACTCGCCATTCCTCTTATGAAGTACGTCGGAC